AGTTCAGAAGCTAAGGAACACGCTCAACTTTTCAGAATGAAATATTTCAAGGTACTTCTGGTCGAAAACTTGAGAGGTCGGTGTTTGCTACTGAAACTGGGTGAAGGAGTTGAGTGAGGATGGAAAGGAAGGTGGCGCTGGATACGTCTTATAAAGGCGATGAGTTCTGTATCTTGTTTGTCGATGTAGCTCAAATAATGAAGGAGCTACACTCTCTCAAAGATCAGGAAAGATCACTTTCGACGATTTTAGTAGGAGGGGTGATGTACTAGGCGGGAGTGGTAGTACGGAAGATCTGTATGTATGTAGATCCTTGCAGATCCTGGCAAATCCGGGGTGTATTGAGTTGTAACTGTGTAATACGGCCTGCAGAACCTTATGTACACGTGAGATAACTCTATTTTTAGACTTCGACCAGGTGTATTAGACTTCGACCAGGTACTAATCCCTCGAGATGATGGGTAAATGAGACTAGATCCGCTCACGCCGTAGGAATGGTAGACTTTCAAGGTTCAGGAAAAAAACCTAGTAGTGTAAACAGGGTACGGTGGATCGAATGGTCGACTCAGATTGTTTGTATCTGTTATGGTTCTCTCTCCGTGATAGTGTAAAGTGACTCAGACTGAAAAAATAAGACTTTTTGAAGGGACACGGACGTATTTTTTAAGGGTTTTTAATTTTTTCTGTGTGGATGAATCAAATGGAAATATAATGAAATATTTTTGTGATTTTTGTGGCACGAGATGAGTGAAACAGATAGCGCAAGAATTTTTATTTATGTGTTTTTTGGTGTTTTTATTTCTGATACTAAGGAAATGAGATGAGATGAGATAAAAACAAGCTTAATTTATTCTAAATCCGTGAGATCTATGATTATAGAGTTGGGTTGAGGCGGAGAACAAGCAGTGAAAGGTGGAAGAGTGTAGTAGCGGACAGTTCTAGACAAGATGTTAGTAGGAAGAGTTCTATATTTAGGGGTTTCTTCTAACGCTGTAAAGAAGTTATTCCTGTTTGTTTCTACTGTTTTTTCTATGATAGACTCGTCTTCTTCTACAAGATTTATGAGGATGTATTCAGGGGAATAGGTAGAATGAAGGGTACAATGGTAGCGCTTAGTTTCTATGTAGTTCCAGAATCTATCTTCTGCTTCTGTTACTTTCACTTTTTCTACTCTTTCAATAACTGTAATGTTATCCGGGTGGTTGTGGTAATATCTACTAGCTTCTTCTGCAATTGTACTATCTATTTGTCTAATAAATGGCAAAACTTCCGGCATTTGTTCTTCAGAAGGCCATTGTTAGTAGTAAATGTTTTGGGGACAAAAGGTAAAAGAAGCACGGAGATATGTTAGTCACGGAATTCCAATTAGGCCAGACCCCCAATTGTCAGCCTCTGGGTAACTAACCTGAGTATTTAATAGTAAAAAGGTTGTTACTATGAGTTGACTGAAGTTTTTTGAGCGTGGTGAGTGTTAGGTAGTGGGTGATTAATACCAGTCCTGTAAAGAGGAGGTTTCACTCTATCAGTATGGTCTTTACTGAGAGGCTTGCTATCAACAGCGCATCCGGATCAATACAAGGTATTAATAGGCATCCAGGGTACTAAGACTCACCTGGGATTGATTTGGTTATTCCCCAAAGGGAATGGGCTAACAATACTTATTAAGCTTTAACAAAATTAGTTGAAGATTAACAGGTATTGTTAATGGGAATATTCAGCAAGGCTATGAATACTGTGGATAAGTTGAGTAAGAGTACTGAAGCTTAAGAACAATAAATGTAGACAAGATTTATGTTGGTTACGGGTACTGTATCAATATAAATGTTAACTGGTTTAACTGGTGTCTGAATATTCTGGGGATTAATCAGTGGAAGTGGCACGGATTATAAGTTCCAGAATACTGAAGGGGGAAAGAATGAGCGCTCAGAATCAAGGGAGCTTTGGCCAGGAGAATGAGCACATCAATTGAGTGACTGATCATTATTTGTCATGATCTGTAAGTGACATCATAATTGTGTACTAGTTGATCAAGGTACTAGTTGCTCTTGATGTGTACTTAACAGATCCTCTAATAATGTAGTCATAATTGTGATCTGTGCATGTATTGAATGTATTAATTCTATTGACACTTAATACTTACTATTTAATACATGTACATATTTATTTGTAATAATATTTGACCGTGAAATTACTGTAGCAGAGGGATAACTTGTGGTACAGGTATTTCACGGACAAGGGAGTGAAAGGTAAGTGATAATTACTTATGTAGAACACAGGTATGTATTTAAATAGATAAGTAATTAACAGATAAGATAAATGTAAGATAAATAGGATAAGATAAGTTAATGATAATAATAAGATAACAAGAGGTAAAGGTAATCAACATTATGGATAAGTACTTATGTACATAAGTACAGGTGTTGCAGTTACTTGGTACATGAAAGGTACTGTGACATGTACTCTGTAGCTGACAGGCGATATCCCCCCATCTCACCACCTCAGATCCAGCCAGTTCACTCGGCCATCATGTCGTCTCTTCGGCTTCGCGGTCGAATAAAGGTGAGTCACTTATTCTTCTTCTCAATCGGTGGCTTGGATCCTATAGCTGACTTGCTCTCACCAGCAGGCCAGTCTTGATCCCTTCAGCAATGTGTTCCTTGAGTCGATCGGTCATGGTTCCCTCAGTTTCAAGGTGAGGCCCGCTACTCCGATTCCTCCTCCCTCTTTCCTCTTCTTCCCCTGCCCCTTATCCTACTTCGATTTCTAATTTTACTAATCCTAATTACTAAAAAAAACCCCGATCGACTTGTATCCTTGTAGTTTAACATGTCTGTTTACGATTCTGATTATACGGCCATGGCCGTCGATACTCCTATTCACGACCCTGGTGCTTCTCCCTCTACTCTTCATACCTCGTCCGATACTCCTACTGTTTTGAATCAAGCCTTGGTAAGCAGTGCTGAGCCAGCTCTACTCTCCTCACCCCTGCTTTTCTCGGTTGCCCTGCGTGTGTATTGACTTAGCCTGTTTTTTATCATCTTTTATTCCTGGGTTCTTAGCACGAGGCTAATGCTCCTAGCGAGTCTCAGATTGAAGAAAGAGACATCGCCGCCTCCTTTCCCGTTGATCCTGCCATTACCTCCGTTAGCGCCGGCGCTGCTCCTATCCAACCCACTGTAAGCTGACTCCCCATACTCTGCTCACATCTGATCGCTCACTTGTCGTTGGTCGATGGTGTACTAACATCAACACCCTCCTACTTTAATGATCCCCTAGCATGCGTACCCTGCGCACCGATCAGCTCAGGTAGAAGAGGACGAGGTCCCCAGCTACCCGCCGCCTCCGTACGTACATGCGGTGCGTTTTGCATCAGCTGCTCCCTATTCTACTCCAGCCTCGGCCGGGCCTCCTCGTTCCGTCTTAAATCACGCTCCTCACCGAGCGTATTCTACGCCTCGTCAGGCCAGTTCTGCCTCGCCGGGTAGCCCAACTCGTCCGTCCATTCGTCGACGACTCTTCCCGACTTCTCCTGCGCCTACCAGGGCCGCGTCTCCGGGTGGTTCGCCCGCGCCTCCTACCGATCCTCCTGCGACTCCTCATCCTGCCCCTGCCGGTGATCCCTACGACATGGATGCACGATTTAGTGCTCAATTTCTCGCGATGAGCTTCTACAACACCCTCTTGTCTGTGCACGACGTCCTGGGGGACTTTAGCCGACGACCATCCCCACTTCCTTCGCCACGAGATCATGCGTGCTGCTACAATTGTCGCCGAGGATTGGTCAACTATCATCGCATCCACTTGTAAGTATCTGATTTCTCCTATTGTTCTTCTAGCATGCTATTGATCGTTCCCTAGCCCTGGCTTCCCTATCTTCCCGTAGGCCTGCCCAGTTTGCCGAGCCTCATTCCATGGGTCACCTAGTGGCCAATAGCGTCCGTTTCACTGTCCGTTGTCTGAATACATTGATCCTTGAATGTCCTGATTTGTACCCCTCCATTCCTCCTCTCTCCCCAACTAGCTGATATCCCTTTGTGAACAAATACAATAATACTACTGATACTCGCAGGAATGCCAAAAAACAAAAGAAACACAAAAGAAAAGAAAAACATACCCTTCTCTTTTCCCTAAGCTAAAACATAAAAGAACCCACCTAAAAAAAAAAAATCTTGTAGTACCTTCTTAAAAGAAATGCTGTTTTGTTTCCTTTATATTTTTACCCTGTTTTTCTTACTTGTTTCTCCTGCTATCTGAACCAATGGTTATTACAGCTTGATGATAGCTGCTTTTTCTTTTTTTTTTTTTTTTGAAATACCACACCGTCTCTCCTTCTTCTGAGAGAATCCAACGACAAAATCAACAACCTGAGAAGAGAATAACAAAATCTGTGAGAATACAATTGAAGTTCCAACAAATAGCAGACTGAATAATAGTACAACTTCTACTTGCCCCCCGTCACACAGTAATTGATACAGTTGAATGCATAACTAAAAAAAAAACAATTCCTACTACTACAAATAATTCCTAAAGCTTGAGAAGGAGAACTAGTCCGCAATAGCGGCATACTCCCAATCTTTCCAGAAGGTTTCAAAGTCTTTTCCAAGTCGTGCCTGCTCGTTGCGTAGCACCCATTTAAATGCCTGCCAATCGAATCTTCCAAAAATTCCCACCATTTGTCGAATTAGTTCAGTTAGAAACTCCTCCTCTTCTTTCTCCCGATCTCTTCCTGATTACCATAGCTCCTGGTCAGCAATGGTCATTCTTCCTTCTTTTGTTCCCAAGTACATTGCAAGTTGTTCTTCATCAACAAACCACCACTCCTCTGGCCAAATGTAGGAATTTTCTAAGTATCCTTTTGTTCCATTAGTAGTTAGCAACATTATAAACCCAATGCGTCCAGCTGTGTATCCCGGTAGCTCGTCCCAAATTCCCCCCGCCTTAGATTCGTAAGTTTCTGGATACATACGGAGGAACTCTTTAACCGGATATCCATGATCCACGTAATCAGCTGTGATTGTCACCAAATTATAACTTCCCTTACACCTGAAGGCTTCCCACTCCGGAAATGGTGTCCACTCGCTTTGTTCTGTCTTTGTTACTGGCGTGTTGTTCTCAATTTCCCAAGTGCTTGTATTACTACTCCACTCATTATTGCACTCTCCACTATCCTGGCTCGCCTTGCTCCGGTCCTCGCTCCCGAGTGTGGTATTGTCCCAGTCATGAGACTCCGTACTTCCCGATCCTTCCTCTTGTCTTGTCAATTCCTTGTCTTCTTCCCCTGAGCTATCCATGAAATCCGCGTAATTTTCGATCATCATGCTAAAACATTTGTCGGCTATCCTTTGAGGAGGGGCCATTTCCCAACCTGGAATCTTGGGAGAGCAAATAGGTATGCATAATCTTCCTCCATCCCATAACTCGTAACTCAGTATCTCCCCACGACTCTTTGATAACTCTAGACGTACCTTATGATCTGCTAGGAATGGCCTTCCCAACACTGTGTATACTTTACCTCGAGCAATAAAGAAGTTAGCACCCTTCTGTTCCTCCTCGTCAATACAAAGATGAACACCTTCAGCTAGCCCCACAATGGGTGTTGAGTGTCCTCCAATTCCCATGATATTCATACTAATTTCGCGTGACGGTAGCTTCAACTGGATTGCCAAGGTTTCCGGCATAATATTCATTTCGGCTCCCGTATCCACTAGTGCTCTGATTTTCTGGCCAGCAATCCAAACCTCAATAAACCCCAGAGGACAGGCATAAGTAAGTGCATTATTACCTAATTTCATACCCTTTTCCCGAGGTTGATGTGGTTCGCTATTGTCAAAGTTCCTATGATCACACCTTCCTGAGTTCTGACTTCGCTCCCGTGGCATTGAATTGTCTTCTGCTTCTGTCTGTAATTCCTGAAGAAACTTGGGTGCAATTGATAATAATTCCTCCAAGGTAAGTGTGAAACTTTGCTTTAGAAATTTCTTTCTAAGCCCCCCCCCCAACTTTAGACTGATCCACGGTTCGGGGAAATACTTCTCTGGCTGACTTCTCTTCTACCCTCTTCTCTGGTGTTTGTGACACAGGTTTCTCTGCTTCTGCGTTGTCGCCTTCGCTACTTTCGTTGTCGGATTCTCCTTCCATCCATGCTCCCGGATAACTTGGTCGTCTCTTGCGAGTAGTTGCGGGATCTTTATTAGCTTTGAGATGGATTCCTTTGGTTTTCCGGAAGTTTCTGGTTTGGATGCTGGTGGCTGTACTTCCTTCTCCTTGTCTTTGTTGGTTCGCGCAGACCTTCGCAGGCCAAATCCAATCAAATTCTCCTCGTCTTCCTCCCCGTAATGCATTTCCGGTGGACTCCATGCTTCCCATCGATTCGTAGAGATCATGGACGCCGTTGGTTCTTGTCTCGGTTGTGAAAACTGATCACTCGTCATCAGATTTGCTCGTTTCTCACTGTTCTCCTTGGCTGCATTTGATTTTTCACCAAATTTTCTTACCAATTCTCGAATTGATTCTCCGGTGTCTGTCGGAATGACTTCCCGGTTGGGGTAATAGAAGTTCGGCCCTTGCTTGAAAACCAGACGTTTAGTAATATCTTCATTCAAGTGCTGACAGAACATTGAGGTATGGTCCATCTTCTTGCAATAAAAACATTGCAGCTGTGGTCTTGGAAATGATGGTCCTCCTGGTCCTGGCGGTCTAAATCCTGCATTCGGCGGTCTTGGTGCTGAAAAGTGAGGTGGAAATGGTCTAGCGTTTTGATTGGTATTCACTTCGGTACGTAACTTCTTAATTTCCTCCTCTAAAGCCTTCATTTTGTCAATGCTGCTGTCCGACTTTGTCTTGGCTTGAGCTTCTCGTTTATTCTCGGATTCTTTGGTAGCAGGTTTGGCTTTGGGAATTCCAACATCTAAGTCATATACTGACAAAGAGGCTTCCACGTAATCCTTCAACACTTCCAACTTGGGTACCAGCGCCTTTCCATCCTTGGTCTTCTTTAATTTCTTGTCATGCGCCAACTCCTTCGCCACGTCTCGTCGCATCTCGGTCAAAATCGCCTTCCAAAGTGGTTCGCCACTTGTCGCATTCACGTCCTCGTAATCCATCTTCGTCAAATACGCCAAAATCTCCTCGAGTTGGCCAATAAACGTCCTGTATTCCTCCTTTGTCTGAATCCCGCCTTTGTCCATGTACTTGCTGACCAATGTCGAAACTGAGTTCTCGTTAAATCGCCTAAGAGGTGTCGCTCGTCCCCATTTCCGAATGAGTTCCTTCTTCAAAAGTTCCCAATCCCGATTCTCGTGTCCTTCCATATTCTCAATACACTTGCTAATCTTCTTGTCCTTAATCATGAATGGCAACTGAAGTGCTACGTCCTGTCCGCCCGCTTTGTGCAAGGAAGCTATCTTCTCTACACGTTTGATAAACAATTCCACTTCTGACCCGTCAAAGTCTAAGTTCAACTTCCTTGTGTCTAGAACTACGCCCTTTTCTTCGTCAGAGAGCTTGATTTCGGATTTTGTCCTAGTCTGACTGGTTTCTGATGAAGTTACCGCCAGACCTAGTAAACTTTCTTCTCCTGCGCCAATAGTAGTTTCCATTCCCGCCATTCCGGTGTATGGTGTTGAAGTTGCAAATCGTAAAGATTGTCCTCGTGGCGGTGGAGTTTCCGGTATTGGTACGGCCTGTGGTGCTTTGGATTGCTTTAATAGTGCCATCATCATTTCTTTCATCTGTTGCATGGAATCTTCAAGTTCCGTCATCTTGGCTTGCTGTTTTAGCATCATTGCTGATTGCTCCATACTCTGTTCCGCCGAATTTGACATTTTTGATTTTTGATTTAATACTTTGCCAAATTGTTCTTCCAAAAATTTCCGCTCCCTTTCTCTAATCTCCTCGTCAACCCTGGACGTCTTGTTTGGTTCCTGGGTATCTTCACTCGAATCCTTCGTCTTTCCAATCAAATCCTTCTTCTCGCCAACCAAATCCTTCTTCTCGCCAGTCAAACCCTTTGTCTCGCCAATCACTTCCTTCGTCTTGCCAATTAAATACTTCGCCACCTCAATCGTATCCTTTGTATCGCCAATCGAGCGCTCCTTATCGCCGCCAAAATCTGCCTTCTTCCCGTTATCCACGATTGATTTGATGTTGAGGTTGATTCGCTAGAAAAATATGATTGATTCGAATGATCTTGATGAAGGTAATCGGCCACTGTTGGGACACCAGATGTAGGACTCCTGGGACGGATAGACACGGTAAAGTATATGTATATCAAAAGATCCCTTGAGGGGGAAATAAATTGCAAATAGGTTGAAAGGCTATTACAACTTACGGGTGGTTTGAAAGACCTGCCCCTCTAAATGTACTAAACAAATAACTAAGAGTCTTGTAATCAATATTTAATAACGTATGGCTGATTCCAAGATAGATCTTACTTTCGTAAAGTAATCTCTATCAGACCTAGATCACGTATCAATCTACTAATGAATCTGTTACAACTTCAGGTTAATAATGGAAACTGTGGTGCTGATGACTTGAGCACAAAACAGATGATTTGTTATAGAGTTTGTTAATGATCTCTTCCTCGAACAATTTCTTGCTAAGGCACTTTAATCAAAACTAGAGCTCCGGTACTAATACTACTACTACTTGTTATTGGTTAATTGTTAATGTAATACTACTTATATGATGACTAATACTACTAATATGCTTCAAATTCCGAACTCTGTGTTGGTTTCACGCTTACAATACTGTTATAACTCGCTACGTATCACTAACTAACTCACTACTTAACTTACTAACTTCTTCTGCTACTGGGTGATCGAACTTACTTCCGTAGGTTGATGGGGAGAAGGGACTTTCTGGTGGGGAGAGGCCCTTCTTTTATATTGAAGAGTGAGGGATTTCTGCTGCAGGGGACTCCTTGTGAGGGAATATTGCTGCAGGGGATCTCACCTTCACAGCCTTTGCGCACAGCCTCCAAACAAATAGCGCAGCTTATGCTGTGCTAGGAACACTTAACTCCAGACCTTGTCACATAATATGCATGCAAGGGAGCACACAAGCGCAGCATGATGTCATGCATTGCCAGGCAACCAAGCCGTCTTCTAGAACATTCTGCATAGGCAGTACCAGCCTGCCAGCCCTGCTGTTATCTCCTTCCACCCAGGATTTGGGGGTCAAAGCCTCTCCTCACTCCTTCCTTCCTCCCTCCAGCTCAATATTTTTCCTCCCTTCACTTTCCACCATCTGTACCCTGTACCCTTACGTAAACATAAAGTACCCTTATTACACACCGCTCCTCCGTTCCATTCCTGGTCGAGACATGTTCTCCCACTCCTCTCCACGTACATACTTCCGCTCCTCCGTTCCATTCCTGGTTGAGATATGATCTCCCACTCCACTCCTCGTATGCACACCGCTCCTTTGTTCCATTCCTGGTTGAGATATGTTCTCCCAATCCACGCGTTGTATGTAATCCTGTCCGTATATACCACACCTCATCCATAATGATTGTTCCTTCTCTTGTAATGATTGTCACATGTATGTACCTATGCTATCCCAACACCTCTGCTGTATGCTTTTGGCATTGGAACAGGCACAGCACACCACAGCGCTAACGCTACCCGCACAGGGTGCAAAAACCCGCCTGCTACGCTGCGTTACAGCCATTTTTAGCGGTTTTTAGGTGTTTTTTGCCGCTAAAAACGCTGTAGCGTAGCGGCTCCAGCGGTGCGCTAACACTACACCAAAATTTGGCTAGTGTTAGCACCGCTACAAGTTAGCGTAGCGGCGCGCTAACACTACACAAAAAAAATGGCGCTGCTACGCTAACGCTACATGGGCCTGTAGCATAGTGTAGCGTAGCGGCCCACCGCTGGTAGGAGGAAGAACTCTACCAAGCTAGGAAGGGGAAGGGGAAGTCAAGACTAAATACAAGGCAGAACTATGCTTATGTAATCTTGTGACAGGTTTGTGTAAGCCTGTGAGGAGCAGGGATTACAAACCACCAGATTTAATCTTCTGTCAGCCACTGTACCAACTGACTAAGGAGGATGCCTACTTGGCAATTAGGTATAATGTACCTAATTGCCAAGGTCAATTCCTACATGCAAAGTAGGGACAATTTGACTGCACAGGAAGTAGGTACAGTCTATCTACCCACTAAGTAGGATCCTTGCTTGAACAGTGGTCCACTTATTATTGGCAGAACTGCTACAGCTTTTTCAGATCACATATTTTTGTGGGAAGATGATGGCAACTTAAGATTAAATTTCAGCATCAAATACTACAGTTGTGTGCCGCAAATTAATGCCCAAAACCAACTTGGTTGTGTGGGGTAAGGCTGGGGGGCCAAACCTCCATAGAATGATATTTTTGGAGGTTTCAGACTGTCTAGATTCTAGATCCAAAGTGGCAACCAAATTGGTCCATCCAGTTTGTTTGTTTGTTTTTTGCCGACCATACGGACACATGACCTTGGACCAGACTCTCCCCGGCACCAATGGGAGTTGGATCCTCACAAGAAGTCCTGGCCATTGGGACAGGACTTGAAACAGAAATTTGCTGTGTCCAACTGTATGCTAGATACTACTTCCAGCTACTACAGCTGTGTTGTTCC